ACAACAACACTACAAAAAAACCCCAATTACCAACAAAAAAAAATGTTGGTAAATTGATCAAATTGGTTGGCATTTTGAATTACTAAGAGATTACCAACGGATATTGACCCGTTGCTAAAAGGCTCGATGGTAAATTTTACCAACCATATTGAATTGTTGGTAAAATTACCAACTAAAAATTAGTTAGTAAACACCAAATAAATTTGTTGGCAATTTTTGAATCTTGAGTCCAAGATTTTCGTTGGTAAATTTACTAACAAAAATTCAGTTGGAAGTTCGTTAGTAAATTTACTAACATATAGAAATTGAGTTAGTAAAATTAGTTTTTGATTATTTAAATTGTGTTTGTAACTGGTTGGTAAATATAGTAACAAGAAAAATTCCATTAGTATTCTGTTAGCAACTATACTAATGGATACCAACTTGGTTGGTAAATCCGATAGTATATTTTTAAAAATACATTGGTAATCGGTTGGTAATTTTGTCTATGGAAAAGTTCTGTTTAGTAAATTGTTGGTAATTTACAAACAAATTTCAAATTCGTTAACAAATATGGTTATAATAATTGTATTAATATTAATTTAAAGCTTTAAAAGATCCCAAAAAAACGTAAACAAAATAAAAAACATACTAAAACTTTATAAATAATAATATCTATCATGAAGTTGAAAGCAGAATCCAAAATGTGTCTAACATAAAAGAAGCTAACATAAATCTAAATACGACTCGTGTCATTTGGCGACGAGTTGCAGAATCCAAGACGTGTCTAACATAAAAGAAGCTAACATAAATCTAAATACGACTCGTGTCATTTGGCGACGAGTCATGTCTACGAGAAGGCGGTGTAGGTAAGCCACCTATGAGGACCGACAGACGGTTTTGGAGTAGTTGATCAACTTGCTCACGCACCTCTTGCTGCATCTCGTGTCTCATTTCTTCACGCATTTCTTCTCTCATTTCTGGTCTAATCTCTTCTCTGATCTCTAATCTCATCTCATGCTTCATCTCTTCCTTAATTTCTTGCAAACGATGTCCTACACATTCACTCACTCGAGCATTGAAATCTAGATCTTGAAGTGGAGATATCGAGCTGGAGGAAGCACCAACATGCCCATAGAAAGGAGCTTGAGAACCAAGACCATAAATGCGCGTCTTCTTAACACCGACTTCCTCCAAATAAATTTGTGAGAAATCAACTTCAGGAGGCTCACTGGACCCATCTTCAGGCTGAGACGCAGATACAATTTTAGACATTATGGCGTCCTGAACAAAAAGAAAATGATATAAACTCTATAATAATAACTTTGACAGAGAAAACATCAAGAACACAGTCATAAAGGTAACAAAACTGAAAACTCAAATGTCAATAATAACACCTTAAAGACAATTGTTTTGATGTAGAAAACAGTGTTCCTACAAATTGCATTACTTGTTTGCCATCCAGCAGAATTTAAATGAAAACTCTGCACATCATTGACCGTGTAAATATCATTTTACAGCTCTCTATTTCTAGAGCTGTTCGAAATAGCATTTCACTAACATGTGAAGACATATCAAAATATTGAGCAAGTAAAAGGTGGTATATATAACCTGTAGTTGGGACCCTTAGACAAAATATTGAAGATTCGCAAAATCAGAAGAATGCCTTCCACTGGAAAATGACATTCATTTATCATCAATTCTTTGACTCTTAAGTAACATCTTGCATGCTTTGTGCTAATCCTATAAATTGTGACACTGACTACTATAGATATATATGTTAAAACTGAATGGCCATCGCAATCAAAGTAGCAAACGTCACAGCAAAAAGGTAATCCGATGATTATTGTGTTAGAGATGTTGTAGATATATGCTTATCAAATTTGCCGATTTTATTCTTTCATCATGCTTCCGTTGAGGTTAAAAATTATTAACCTAATAGCTTTCGCTGTAAAATAGAGTTAAATATTCATCAGTTTTATCATTAAAGAAGTACCAATCCTATTTTTATAGCCATGAAGATATCAAACTTTGACGATGTCTAGTATAGTTTGCAATAACATATCCAATATGATTTCAAAAGTGGTGGGGAACCTGCAGTGTACGCACACCTTTACCTCTACTTTGAGTGATGTTATACATATAGTTTCTGATAGACCCTTAATCGATAAAAAAAAGTGTTTCGAAACAATATATAATTATGTACATCGTTTCTATTTTCTAATATAAGGTCATAATGATCCGAGTTTCTAATTGAAGTGATCGACAAGTGTGCAAGCCTTAAAGTCAGAAGGTTAAACTACATTTTTGTGAATATGGTGGAACTTCATTATATCACTACTGATGATAACTTAACTAGGCCCCAATATTACGACCACCTCACATGCATCCAATTGTTAGGACTAAGTTTTGTAGAAGATATGTCCATTAGGCAGAACCAATAATGGGTGCAGAATGTCATGACACTCAATAATCCTCTATGATAACTGATGCAGACAAAATATATTTCGAAAGACTTTCACACGTGTGTGCGTGCATATATTTCTTTTGTGAACAATGATTGCATAGAAACAGATGCAAGGAAGAGAGTCAATTGAACACAGTCATAAAGGCAACAAATCTGAAAACTCAAATGTCAATAATAACACCTAAAAGACAATTGTTTTGATGTAGACAACAGTGTTCCTACAAATTGCATTACTTGTTTGCCATCAATTTGTTATACTTTCAGATAAAGAAGTAATAATTATCAATAATGACATGTTATATATATTATATGTGCAGTTTATAAAATATCAAAGGTAAAGTAAGATGGAAGTCTAACTCTTTTTTTTTAAATCCAACAGATTTTGTTATTCTATAGATAAAATAACTACCAAGAGAATGCAGTACTCTCTTGGGCCAATGTGTCCAACCAAGAAACATAACTTGAGGAATTGGGACAAATTTGACACAAGGAAAACTAAGACCTGTTGGAATGCTGGAGATTTGGTAACAAAGTGGAGAAGATTGATGGGATTCCGGATACAAGAAATGCCACGAACCCGTACAATGACTAGGCTGGGACTAAGACCGAGTAGCCACTCAACAGAGACCTTAGTTTGGACATCTTAAACTGCCTGTATTGAAGTGTGAAATTTAAGGATGCCATTTTCCTCTTTACGAGCAGCAGTAACCACTCCAACATATGCTCGGAAGAGTAGAAACAAGCTTCTACATGAATCTTAATAAAGTTTCTACTTGAAGGCTAACAGCTTGCACTAGAAGTGGGTATTTTCTTCGTGCAGAAAAGATTACTTTTCTTTTCCTTTTCCCAATTAGGAAACATAAAGAGTTTTAGAAGCTGCAGATATATGCAAGAATCTGGCATCCAAGTAAAACGCGATACGTCTTAACATGTTAAACCCCAATTACCAAAGTACAGAGACTATCAATTCCAGGATGATATGGTTGTCTTCAAGAATAATATCCCACGTGCTTAATAATTGATAAACATCCACACATTCAGTGTTGGAAAGAGCGTGAAGCGAGGAAAAGCGACAACCCCCATTTCACGAGAAGCGAGAAGCGAGAAACGAAGCGCTCGCTTTTTTGAAGTGAAGCGGAATTTAAAGAAAAAATAAAATAAATACTGCAAAGAGGAATTCTCTGTTAAATACTAGAAAAACTGGGCAGTAATTTTCTGAGAAAGAACCGAAGGTAAAAAAAAAAATCGCCAGCATTTCGCTGCTTTTTGGACATTTAGAAAGAAAGAAAGAAGGCAACAAACTGGCTGATCACTTAGCTAATTATGCTATTGATGTAGGTCCACAAAGAAAAACACATTTACTGCATCTCAAAGGAAAGCCCTGGCCAGTTCTTTGGCGACGCTACTGTTGGACTTTGGGAGCTATATTTGGAGGGCTCTCACAAGGGCATATGCACTGTACTCTATATGTATAGTTTTCCAGGATGTGATTCATGGGAATGATACATTCACATTATACTGGACATCGCTACATCCTAGGAAGGTACACTACATTATCATAAAGGAAACTCATTGTGCTATAGACCTGGACAACTCGAAGTTTCAAATGTGGGAGGTGATTCAAAGGATATTTACCAAATATGGGGAGTTAACAAAAGACATAAAAGGATGCAATGGAATCTCAAGACGACTTTCAACAAATTAACAAGGAATCACACAAAACAATGCACGAATATCAGTGAACTAAAGGATGTACTGTTTTCATTTGGTTTAGTGCTCAAAGTTTGTGCTACGCTTTCAAGCCAAATAATGAAGATGTCAAAAAATTATTCAAAGAGCTACAAGAATCTGCCCAGCTCTTGGCAGAAGACGAATCAAATATGGAGAGGGCGCTCATGCGATTGATATCCATATGGCTAGTTTATATTCTGTTTCGTTTATACTGTTATAGGCTACAAGTTTCTACATTTCTTAGTTCAAATTGTAAGACCAATTTTGGGTATCACTCATTCAAAATTGGTCATAGGAGATATGTAATCGCAAGATAGGTGCTTTACTTTTACTTGCCAATAAATGACATCCAAGCTATAGTAACTTACATAAGTGCTCTTAGATTTCTGGTCCACAAACTCCTTGTTCGCCTTGACATGTGTCTTCTTCAGAAGCTCATGTGGATGAGCTGGTCTTCCTAGTTCTTTAGCCTAGAATTGAAAACCACGTTCACTATATTAATACATAATCACTAGCTTTGGAGATATTATAACTTGGCTAATAAAAAAGGAATATACCAGTTGTCTTGTATGTTCTAGGTGACTTCTGGAGCCTCTTGTATGGCGTGAGGGACCAGACCCTTTACCACCTTTCTCACTTAGCCGATTCCTTGAGCATTGCACGGACTTGGATTTAAAAGCCTCAGTCTCCCAGTGAGGCTTTGCATGAATACATGACAATCGTGGCTTTTCATACCAAACAATTTATGTTTTTTCATGTCCACACACCTTCCCATATTTGAGACATATCCATATGGAAAATTCAGATTCTCCACCCATTCACACTACACTTTTTTCGACTTCTTGTCTAGTGTATAACAAGCTTTCGGATATTCGTCACCAACAGCATGTAATTCAGGGCGTCGGCAGAACTCTTTCAAGTCTTCTCTAGATTTGGCATTATCTTTTGTTTTACCATCTACGTCCATCACTGTGTTGAACACATTCTCGAAAAAGTTTTTCTCAATGTGCATAACATCTAGATTGTGTCGGATCAGATTTGTACTCCAATACGGCAAATCCCAAAATATGCTTCTTTTCTTCCAACCCGAAAACTTACTAATTTTGCCATTAACAATATCAGCCCCAAGCTCTGTCACCTTTTTCAACCCCAATTCATTTATCTCCTTCAGTATATCATCACCTGACCGTATCGGGGGAGGATGCGTTCTGACCACTTTATTCTTTCTAAATGAATTTCTGTTATTTCTGTATGGATGATCCAGTGGTAGGAACTTACGATGATTGTCAAACCATGACTGTTTGCCACCTTTAGTCAAAGTAAAAGCATCTGTATTCTCCATACAATATGGACATGCTAGCCTACCCGCAGTACCCCATCTAGACAACATCGAATATGCAGGAAAATCACTAATTGTCCACATCAAAGCAGCTTGCATGTTAAAATTTTGCTTCTTAGAGATATCATATGTGTCCACACCTATACTCCACAAATGTTTTAGTTCTGCAATCAAAGGCTGCAATCAAACTTTTGCTTAGGGTTCTTCGGTCTAGGAACTATAACCGACAAAAACAAATAGGACTCTTTCATACACATCCAAGGCGGCAAGTTGTATGGTGTCACAACTATTGGCCAAGATGAATACTGTTGACCTGTTTTTCCAAATGGTTGAAAACCATCTGTGCATAGCCCCAACCTGACATTACGACTTTCAGCTGCAAAAGATGGATGCATCTTATCAAAGTGTTTCCATACGGGCGCATCTGAACAGTAACGCATCACACCTTCCTCAACTTCATGCTCGGCATGCCATCGCATATGTGCAGCAGTCATGTCGGAAGCATATAACCGTTGTAACCGTGGAGTGAGGGGAAAGTAGTACATATGTTTGAATGGTACAAGATTTCTCTTTGAATTCGATATTTGCCTAGTAGGCTTGTACCTGGGATGGCGACAAAACTTGCAATGGCTAAGTTCACTGTCTTCTCCCCAATAAATCATACAGGCATTTATACAACTGTGGATTTTTTCTACTGGCATGTTCATTTCCTGCATTAACTTCTTAGTTTCATAGAAATTATTTGGCATTAGGTTATCCGGAGGAATCATCTCATTCACATATTGACAAATGTCATCAAAACATCTATCAGATAGATGGTGTTCAGACTTGATGTGCAATAAACGTGCAACAGCTGACAATTGAGAATATGTTTCACAGCCAGGCCACACCTCTTGATTTGCAGAATCTATCATATCATAAAATTTCTGCGCATCAGGATTCGGTAATTCATCCCTATCAATCGGATCGAATGAGGGGCCAGCGACGTCAAGGACCATTCTGTGGTATGAAGTAGGTGATCCAGGCTCATACAATTGCATCCACATTTACCGATTCGGTATTCATAGACTGATCCCAATTTCGCATCTCTTCATGTTGATTTATATTTCTCGTAACCTCATTTTCTCCATGCAAGTACCATATATGATATCCAGGTACAAAGCCATCGCGCAATAAATGTTCGTGGACAGTAAGAACATCTTCAAAATTTCTGTTCTGACACTTTTTTCGGTTACATGGACACCTTAGTCTCTCACCATCCCTCCCTTCACGATGATTCTTTGCAAACTCAATAAATTGCTCAACACCCCTTATGAATTCTGGATTATACAAACCTCTCGTTAACCTTCTATACATCCACTCGCGATTTAAAGTCATTTTTCAAACAAACTTTCTTTCCTGATAATGTAAAAGGATTACAGTAGCATTATTGATTTCTAAAAATCGTTAGATAGTAGTACAAAAAGAGTACTAATAATCAAATTAGGCCTCAAATCCCAATTATAATGAGCAAAAGCTTTCAACATATCTACAATATACTGGATAAATTAGATTGATAAAAAATACTTACCACTTACCCGCCGAATATTGAATTGTGGAATTGAGAAGCTTCCAAACGATAGCTTGTGAGAGACTGCTGTGAGATTATCTATCAGTTGGGAAAGATAATGGAAAGGATTAGCCATATTGTGATCGTGGGTACAGAGAAGAAGCTAAAATGACGCCAGTTCTCTATAATTTTAGGAGAGTGGGGAAGGTAGGCGGTACCGTCTATGCGTAGTATGGCTGAAATCTGTGTAATTTAGAAGAGTGGGGTAATTAATTAGGCGGTACAATCTATATAATTTGCTTTGGAAATTACTTTAATTTGGTGTTTAATTAGTATACTGTATAGTGTAGGCGTTTAATTAACACACACACACACACACACACACACACACACACACGCGCGCACACACACACACACAAACATATATATATATTGGCAAAATATATTTTTTTCCTTTACTCTTATTTTCTGTCTTTTAATTTGTTTGCTTAGAATTATTTAAAAAATCTTAATTGTTAGAAATTTAAAATCCATATAATCTCCAAATATTAATTTGAGTTCCGTAATTTTATTTTTGATTCTTAATTAAACTATGTTAATACTAACTAATCACATGAATTATACATGTATCTTTTGGTTATTATATTATCATACAAATTAATAAATTTTAATTGCACCAAACTATTTGTATAAAATAATAAAATTTTAATTGCACTCATGTTTGAATTATTAAATATAAACTAGGTCCAAACATAAGTTATAGCTAATTATTTAATGTTCGAATATGCAATGAAATTATTACTAATTAATATTAGAACTAGTATTATTACCCACGCCGATGCGCGTACACTAACCATGTCAAATATTAGAGTTATTTAGGTTATATATAAATAATCTTAAATTTTAAATAACCTTCTTGATAAATATAGATAATTATTGGATATTAATTAATTAAAAAACGCTACGTGAAAAAAGATTAATTGTTTCTCAAATCTCCTACTTATTATTATATTTTATTTTTTAGTACCATTCTCGCCAGTGTCATAGATCCTAAAAATAGTCAGAATCGAATAATAACTGTCACGACCCAACCCCGGTCGTGATGGCGCCCAACACACTGCTAGGCAAGCCCGACCATTTAAACAACCTCAACCGATTAATCACAGTAGATAAGTAAATTTTTACAACTAAAATACCAAGTTAAATGCGGAAATCCTAAAATAAATTCTAACATTCAGAAAGCCCAAAATATAAAATACTACTCAGCCCATAGAATCTGGTGTCACAAGTCTGAGCCTCTAATGCATGAGTATTAACCTACTACATAATGTTTTTTTCTAGAAATGAGGAAAAACAAATAAATGAAATATAAGGAAGATCAGGACTGCGAACGCCAATTTGCAGCTACCTTGAATCTCCCGAAGTGATGCTAGGCGGAGAAGATCTCACTCAGCCTCAGTGGGTGCACCTGAATCTGCACACAAGGTGCAGGGAGTATTGTGAGTACTTCCAACTCAGAAAGTAATAAATATAAATAAAGTCTGAGGATAAGAAATCCTAAATGAACACAAAGCAAAGCTATAAATACAACAACGCGAACCAATAGCATAATATAGTAAACATTGAAAACAATTAATAATAAAATAATATCAGATTAAGAATAAATGGCAATTAAATATGCAATGCAACACATAAACCGGTACTCTCCAGTACCCCGCTGCGGCGTACAGCCCGCTCCATTTATTTAACGTCGACGGCGCTCACTAGGGGTGTGCAGACTCCGGGAGGGGCCCCTTACGGCCCAAGTGCAATAATAAGCCATATCGTGGCATCAAACAGGCCCTCGGCCTCATATCAATATCAATATCATATCACTGCGGCGTGCATTCCGATCCCATACTCAGTCCAAAATCACATAAGCCTTTCGGCACAATAATATAAAAATATTCAGCCCAAACTTCATTTAAAAATATTACTTTAGTTTCTACTTTTAGAAAAATGGCTGAGTTTACAAAAATAGTGTTAAATACCAAGAATGAGTTCAATATCTAGAAATATGGTAGGAAACCAGTAAAAATAATCCCTGAAGGATTCAAGTAGTTGGCACGAAGCCCAATTATGACAATTAATCCATTTTTATAAGTATATCACAAAACTACAATCAATTAGGTAGTAATTTTATTAAGCGGGACGGACCAAGTCACAATCCCCGACGGTGCTCTACCCCACGCCCGTTATCCGCGTGCAAGTCACCTCACATAGCACTACATTGTGAAAATTCGGGGTTTCAAACCCTCAACACAACATTTACATTTATTACTAACCTCAAGCTGGCCAAAGTCCTAACTTGCTATGCCCTTGCCTTTCGAATTAACCTCCTCGTGCGTCAAATCTGACAAAAACCACAACGAATACATCACAATATGCTAATGGGACAATACCCAATCAAAAACAATCGAAAAATAGTGAAATTCCCGAAATTAGCAAAAACCCGAGCCCCGGGCCCACTTCTCGAAAATCAGTAAATTTACCATCAACGGATTCCTTATCTCGCCACGAGTCTATACATATAAAGAACACCAAAATCGGAGTCCAAATGACCCCTCAAATTCCCATTTTTGCTCTCTTAGGTTTCAAGCCCTAACCTCCATTTTTGACCTTTAATTCCTTGATTTTTCAATTTAAATTCATGTATTTGCATCATAAAATCGTGTTTAGGCTTAGAAATTCTTACCTCGATGAAGTCCCTTAATTTCTCTCCTCCAACTCGCCCAAATTCTCCAAGTCCGAAGTGAAAATATGAAACCCTTTCAAAAATTCGCGAAGGGAAATAAAACCATTTCTGACCAGTTATTTTCGTATCAGCGGCTACGTAGCCGCATCTGCGACTTCCGCTTTTGCGGTTGAGAGTCGCTTCTACGGACAAGACAGCTTCTGCGGTTACTAGACCGCTTTTGTGGTCCCGCATCTGCTATTCCTTTTACGCAGGTGCGGTTTCCTTTAGCCTTCCAAAATTCCGCATCTGCGGTCCTATTGTCGCATCTGCGACTCCGCAGATGCGGTCAGCATCTCCGCACCTGCGATGCCTGTCGCTTCTGCGGTTCTTGACTCGCTTCTGTGGTATCGCATCTGCGGTCCCATTTCCGCAGAAGCGAAAATACCAGAAGCAGCACAGGTTCTGCAATCTCCTAAGTTCAAAACTTCCCGTTAGCCATCCGAAATCACCCCGAGGCCCCCGGGACCTCAACCAAAAACACAAACATGATCCAATGCCTTATTCAAACTTGCTCCAATCATCAAAACACCTCAAACAACACTAAAACCATCATTTCTCATCGAATTCAAGCCTAAGTTCTTCCAAAACTTCCGAAACACGCATTCGATCAAAAACCTACCCAAATCACCTCCGAATGACCTGAAATTTTGCACACACATCCCAAATCACATAACGAAGCTACAAAAACTCTCGGAATTCCATTCCGACCCTCGGATCAAAATCTCACCTATCGACCGGAAATCGCCAAAATTCTAACTTTGCCAATTCAAGCCTAATTCTACTCCGGACCTCTAAACTTACTTCCGATCACACTACTAAGTCACAAATCATCCCCCGAAGCTAACCAAATCATCAGAATTCATATTCGAGCCTTCTAACTCATAAGTCAACATCCGGTTGACTTTTTCCAAACCAAACCTTACTTAAAGAGACTAAGTGGCTCATTTCCTACCAAAACCAACCCAAATCAATTCTAACACACCAAATACCGATGATGAAACATGAAGAAGCATAAAATGGGGGAAACGGGGCGGTAACTCATGAGACGACGGGTCGGGTCGTCACATCCTCCCCAACTTAAACAAACGCTCGTCCTCGAGCGTACACAGAGCTGTGCTACAAGCCAACCAATCGCTGAATAACCCTTCCATGCATATACCCGGGGTGATTCCACATCACCCTATCTCACATAGGTCCGACAACGCATTTTAACTATAATTACACAATCCAGTCCCGCCTATAAATCATAGAACCACATTCCACTTTCCGAAATCATCCACAAGACCAGAACCTCACATCTATATTCAGAATAAGCCCGAACCAGCTGTAATAACCCATACCTGCAACCTCAGTTGCAATCATATGATATTCCACATAACCCAAACACTCGAAACAATAACTTCTATTCACAGTAGTTGCCCACAACACCCGAATACCGGTAGAAAACCTCTTCACAACTAAAGTTTCCTTCCAATACTTTTACATATACTGCAATTGATAACTAAAACACGCAGTAAGCCATCACCATTTCTCAGATCAACCATTCATGAAACCACTTCCCCTTTGGCAAATGCTACATCAAATTTCTGAGTCGAAGCTCGATATTATCCTTCCAACATACTGAAATCGAATCTGCTCGTACTCATTAAAGATCCCAACGATATCGTCTAATCAACACACTACTCTGGTGGCATTACACATTAGTACAGGACTAAGCCACA